AAAAAAAGTAGGTGATTTACAATCTCCAACGACTCCTACTTTTAACAAAAAAAATTCAGGAAATAGAAAGGTTTTGTGTGAAATTTCATTAAATTAAGTAAGTGCGTGTGTAGAGTGGGGGTAACATATTTAAAAAATATTTTTTACCAAAATTTAAAAAAAAAAAAATTTAAAAAATAATTTCATGCATTTGTGAATAAGTTCTGAAAATTTCATTAAAAACGGACAATTATTTGATTTTTACAACAATTTCCAAATAAATGTGTTTTCAACGGAAAAAAGCTCAAAAGCATCAATGATGTAAACAAAAGATTTTAACCAAAATTTTGAACATGTTAGAAAGAATTTAAAAAATTCAAAAAATAATTAAAAAATACTTTCGTCTTTCATTATTAATAATAAGAAACATTTTGACCATAAAACTTTTTTATTAAGTTTGTGGCCGTTTTCATTACGCTATGTTTTCCCGCGAAAAAGCGGAGGTGCCTACCCTTGGGCAAGGTATGAATCCTCTTCTTCTCCCCCCAGTTATGGGTAAATAGCAGAGCAGACCAGGTTTTATAGCCTTGGATGGCAACTGGTCTACCGCAGAAAGAAATGGCAACCTACTGCGGGAAAAAAGTTTACTTCGTCAGTCATGTATCGAAAGATACATGATCGCCTACGCTTAACGCGCTTAAAACTCTTAACATAGTTTATCATGAAGAATTATTTTAAACCACAAACTCTGAATATTATATCATACGCGAATTATTTTTTCATTAGCCGAAATGTTTGGTGGATCTCTCCTTCACAGTTGCTATAAACAAATGTGGCAAAGAAGATTCTTTTTGCAATTTCTCTTTCGTTATCAGTTAACAGAAACAAATGAAAACCAAAACAGATTACCAAAAACTTCAATATATTCATAATCTATAATTTGCAGACAAATTTCTTATACTAAATGTAGCAACTATTGTGGGACAGAGTTAGTATACTACTACTTCTTGTTCGATGTGCTGTGTCCGTTCAGGATGTGGGCGATCATGGCTCTCCACAACTTCCTCTCCTTTGTAGCTATTAGTAAATTTTTTTCCTCTCCTCTCTGTTCAGCCATCCAGTTATACAAGCTCATTAAATAGGTTATTCGCCAATTTCCTCTTTCCTTCAGTATATTCTGTGAGTGTCAAATTCTCTCAACCGTCTTACCTCATTGTGTCCTTGAAATTCCAATTTTCTCTTTCTGATTCCAAATATAACTATCCTTTTTGTTACTATTTCCCTAAAACTTCTTCATTACTCACATATTAAATCAATGGAATTCTCAGCATCTTTCAGTAGAATCGTATTCCTGTTGCCTGAAGTCTCTTCTTCAGCGGTAATGAGATTGCCCAGCATTTACTGCCATATAGAAACAGTTCAGTACTCTGTCTATATTTCTGTAAATATTTACACTATTCGGTCTGTTGTTCTCATCTTTATTGTCATGTTCACGACGTTTCGGTTCAAAATTCCAACATGGTCTCCCAAATAAGACAGGATGTGACTCAAGGTCGATTTTTATGTGGGGAACCCATACACAGACGTATGAACCAAGGACAAAATCGTCCAGGTTCCGCGTCCCATTGTCACGCTGGCATCGATATTACACCGACCCTCCACTTCTCTTAGTGCAATGAAGGAGGTGCTGTCGCAGAGATGGAATCCCCGGTACCGGGTACCTTGTCCCATCTACAATGAGGAGAACAGTTTACCCCACTTCCAGAATGTATCCTCCAATAATATAGATGGTTTTCTTCTTTTCTTAATGATGTTCTGTAATCAAAGAACGAAGGACTTTCTGTCTGATAGATAAAAGTGAACTGTTCAAATTCAAACCCTGTCAAAACATTTACGCACATCAGCGAAATTTTAAAGCCCCCTTTTTTTAAAAATTTTACTTTATTTCTTTTCTTTCTTTTTTTTTCTTTATTCTCTAATCTCTAATGAAAAATCCAGGACTGGCAATGACGAAATAAATAAAAAAAATACACGTTAGAAATTTGTATAGTTTTTTTTTTTTTTTTTATTCTATTGGAAATGTTAACCCCACTCTCCCCACCTGTTTGGGTCAGGTTCACTTTTCACTTCGTAGTTTCTTTTTTTGTTTAGTTTTAGAAATTAAAAAAAAAAAATGACTAGGACAATAAATGTTAAAAAAAGCATAAAAATACTGTTTTACTAAAGTTTTCTTGCTTTTAAGTTAGTATTTCTTTTGTTTTTTTTTTTAAATAATAAAAGTAAAACCAAACAAATAAAAAATGTCTATGTTTACAAAAAAAGTTTTAATTATAGGATCACTTAAAACACCTTGGGTCGGCTTGACATCTACAACGTTGTTGTTGTCATGGTAACTTCATTAATGACTAAACCTGGTTGTGTTCGATTTTTCCAAATTTGTTTCTTTTATTTCGATTTTTTTGGTTTTATTTTATTCCATTTTATCCCCCTTCCCTAACATTTTTAAGAAGTAATTAAGGTTTAATCTAGTTACTCAGTTAGGATTTGTGTACAAAAAAAATCGCCCATTTACAATTGCGAGTCGTCGGCAGATTACATTCACTAACAAGATTTGACCAAACGAACAGAAGTGCTGTTCTTACCTACACAACCGGTTTAAAGGATCCTCGGTCTTGGATCTATCCTCTTTCATTCAGATCTAATTAAAAAGACTCAAATTTTATCGGCAGGGAGCTTCTTTTTTTTTTCTTTTTAATTGAACTCTCCAGATTCATCTTTTACGGTAGATGTTTCAGTGTTGAGGGTTGTCTTTGATTTTCTTGATTCCACTGTATCCAAGATCTTTTCAAACTTTGCTTACCGTTCTAAAGTTAAAATTTCGTGAGATCTCTTTGAAATTATTTTCTCCGACTCCCCACCCCCAGATATGGTGCTTATTCGCTAAGAGACGCCTTATTATTTTTCAAAATAATTTTCTCCTTGACATCATTATGTTGTTCCACGTTTATTAATTTTATCTAAAAAAAAAAAAAAAAAAAATGACGGCGGACACACGATCTCAAGAGCCAAACTAGCGGAAGAGGCCAGCACCAATTGGGCTGGCGTAATCAAGGCGGACCTTGACAGACCAAGCATCCGACAGCCCGATGCAACCAGATTTGCCAGGTCTCGCCTGTCTCAATTCTCTTTGTGACACGAGGGAGGCACTTCTCGACAAATGTGTGGGCTTCTCTGTCTCGCAGATTTGTCAACCATGACCAAATTCACACGAATGGCCTCGTCAAATCTCTCTTTGATTCACAGCCATCTCCGCCACTGCCACGGGGGTGAGGGGAGGATGGATAGGGAGAGAGGATGACGACCGCGAGCGGGTGCCGACGACGGCAAAAGAAAAAAATCTCGTCGAAACGTTTATTTAAACCGGCACGCTTTTTTTTTTTTTATATGTTGAAAAATGTTCAACGGTGCGACTATTCTAGACGGCCCTTGTATTTGGTCAGTCAGTTATGTGCCATGCGTGTTACCCGCATAGGCGATCATGTATCATTCGATACATGACTGACGAGGCAGATTTTTCCCCGTAGCAGGTTACCATTTATTTCGGCGGTAGTTGCCATCCAAGGCTATAGAACCTGCTATTTACCCATAGCTGGGGGGAGAAGAAGAAGAGCATTCATACCTTTCCCAAAATGTAATGGATTCGACTGGAATTCGAACTCGGTTCTCCGATTCCTCAATCCGAGCCGCTATCCACTATTCCACCGTAAAGAGTAAATCTGGACAAACATTTTTGAATCAACGACACACGATATTTTCTGAAGTTGACCCCAGCACCCAGACACGGTTGATGTTGTGGCTAACTTCGGTACTGAAATTGACGATTTTGAAATTCGCGAAGCATAATAACACGAAAATCGTGTCGCTTCATCTTTGCCTCGATTGTTTATAAGAAACAGAAAGTAAATGTAATCAAAAGGTCCAAAAGAAATATCTGGAAAAATGGTATTTTTGTGGGGGTAGGGAGGACCACTTCAGAAACTACCTAATTCCTTCGGCTATATTTTTAGAAAAATCAGATCAGACCAATAATGACGTATTTACTGCCATATCTGGGTTGGCACTGCTCAGTCCCCACTGTCTAACCTTGACAGAGTTCAAAAACTACCACGCCGCTTTGTGGGTGATGCATTATTTTCCATCTTGCAACCCTAAACTCAGAGACGAAACGTTTCTAACCTCTTTCGCTATTACTATAGCAAATGTTCATTAACGAGCTTCATCCGTTAGTTCCACTGCTTACGGTCAAATCACACTGAAAATGTTAGTTCTCATTCGATCACGGATGCTCAGCAGTGTCGAGACCAGTCAGGACTTAGATGGGAGGCCGTTTGGGAACACCAGGTCATGTTAGCAACTTCCTACGATCCAAAATGTATTTTAGTTTTAAATAACTTACAAAGAGTTGATAAGCCGAAAAAACAAGTCATTTAGTCTTTAGTTCTACCAGCTCAGACCTTCACAGCTAGGACACCGCAATGTTATCTTCGTGGCGTCAAATCATCCCTACTCTCTTTGTATTCCATTAGTAAGGAGTAAGTTTCATTCGGACAGCTTCTTCTCAAGAACTGCTGCTTTGTGGAACAGACTCATGAGACGATGTCTCTACGACCACTACAATCTTAATCTCTTCAAGTATAGGCTTCTTACACTTTCTTCCCCCTTCCTTACTTCTCAGTAATTCTCTATGTCGAATAAAAAGTTAAAGAAACAGATGCATTGCTTTAAAATGATATATAGATGGACTTTTTATACCAAATACAAGTGCCGGCACAATTAAATAATTCCTTTCAATTCTTCCTATATGGAAACAATGTTTATTTTGTAAGCTTCTTATTTTTTACACAATTTTCTCTAAGACACAAGTAATTTGTTCCACGTTTATTAAACCTTTGCAAAAATCTCCCAGTAGACTGTTTATTTCACCCAGCATGCTTATTCGAACTTACTCCACATTACGGGTTTACAGCCATATAGCGTTGAACACACCTGTTCCCGTACGGTCACCGAAGTTAAACAACGTTGAGCTTGGTCAGTACCTAAATTGGTGACCACTTGGGAATACGAGGTGCTGTAAGCTTGGATGTGCGGGTGGTGTAATGGATAACGGCTCAGGATTGTTAATCGGAGAGCCGAGTTCCAATTTCAGTTGGGTTCGCTATGTACACTTACAGGCAAATACCTTTGGGAAATGTATGAATCCACCTCTTCCTCCCAGCTATGGGTTAATTAGTAAGACTTGTATCACTAAAATCATTATTATCTAAAAAAAAAAATTAGTCTCACAATCTAAAAATATTTTCTGACTTTAAATAACCTGCAAAATGTTGATAAGCCGTAGAAAACGAACCAATCAATCAACCCACCCACAGTACGAATAGAATAGTCAGTGAGACGAAACACACTCCGAAGTACCCCAGTGGATTAATATTATTAATTAATATTATAATTAATTTTAAATACAAATCAGTTTGCTGCTGCAACGAAATACATTCAGCTAGAGTTTGAACTTATTTTTATTTGCTATTTGTTTCTTAGTGTCTACATTATTCGGACTATTGTCCTTATCTTTGTCGCCATATTTATTACAACGTTTCGGCGGTTTTACGCTCCGGCCTTCTTCAGGTGGTTGGAATGTCGAACTGAACCCTTTAATTCGCTCACTGGGGTAGACTGTTCTAGTTCCACGTGCCATGTTTAATGGGTGTCAGTTATCAGTTATCTCTTGTTAATTCCCCTCTCCAATTCTCCACTGCCTTAACCGGGTATTGAACTCACACTCTTTGGGTCCTGTCACTGGATCTAACTAACCACCTGAAGAAGGCCGGAGCGTACAACGGTCGAAACGTTGTAATAAATATGGCGACAAAGATGAGGACAATAGTTCGAATAATGTAAATAGTGTACATAATACCTCATCTCAGAAATATAGACAGATACTATTTGTTTCTCCTCTAAAAAATATGCTTATTTTGTTAGTAAGACTTACATTAATTCCTGACCAATAACGATCTCTTATTATTAGGTTGGTGCAAAAATAATGACGTAATAATGTCGTTTTTTGACGTTAAAAATACGTCAAAAAACGACATTATTACGTCATTATTTTTGCACCAACCTAATAATTCATTTACATGATACATTTAACCCTATTCTGTTAGTAGCACTTGCATTAAATTCAATTACAAACTCTCCTAATTGTTTTCTGTACACAACCTATAAACTAAATGCTGAAATTTGTTTACACAACATTGCAAAATTTGGCAGTTCAATTTTCAAATTCTGCTTTTAAGCTCGAATTTTGGTAATTTCCGTTCATTCATTCACAGCTATGTGGATATTTATCATATTTTATATCAAGTCGAACGCTTATCAAAAGTGGGCTAATACAGATTCTTCTGTGAGATGAATCTAAAATGTTCTCTTTTTAGTCTTTAAATATAAAGCCTTCTGACAGAAAATTGATGAGTATTACGTAATCAATTCTCTGAATTAACAAACCGGACTCTTGAAATTCCACGGGTGTTGACAACAAAGAGGATCTGTTAATTCATGCATCTTGTTCTCTCATTCCTTGCTGTATCTTCTCATTTTCTCTCTTATCTTTTCCAATTTTCGATGCCTGTTCATAGTTATATCTAAATTTTATGCAAGCGTGGATTAGTTTCATATACGAAAAGGAAATAAGGAATATAAAACTGTAAATTTCGTAAAGAATTTTAATGAATTATGTTTTTAAGGCCTTTCCATATCTCTCTCATTTTCCATCTTTCAGTCATATGAAGCAAGCAAGACTATATCTTGATGTCTTGCTTTCATTACCACCCCTTAAAATTATATGTTTTCATATCATCTTGTTTTCTTTTCCTTTTCTCTTTTTTTACCTCCTACCATTCCACCTTGACGCTTTCACCTTCTTTGTTTTTTCCCCAATTCTTCCCGCTTAATATTATTGTGTATGTTTCTCGGTCAGAAAGCGTAACTGATTTCAGCTCAGGAGAGACTCTGATTCTGGACAGTAAAGCTTAATGGCTGTAGATACAAACAGTAGAATTTAGTTCAGAAAAGATAGGGAATCGGGCCTATAATGCATTAAGACAGAAGATGTAATAATTTTATATAAATATTTTTGTTGAGGGGTCTACCCCTTTTTACACAAATGGACTCACTCAGTATATACATATACTACTGCTACTGGAAGACACGAGAGTAAGACGAGAGCAAGACCGAAGCGTTGAGTCCAGAGTGACAGAGTAAAAGGTTGTAGGTAACCGGAAGAGTGGGGGGTGAGGTAACAGCGTTGTAGGAGTTACAGTGAGCGAGCACGTAGACTCAGTAAGAAGTCATACAGCAATACTTCAATGCCAAAGACTGTATATATATATATATATATATATATATATTGCTACTAACCCGTATTCCTGGAACTACTAATCTGCTTTACCAGTTTGTATTATTACATTAATACATTATTTTTATATATTCATTCCTGGTGTTTGCTATTTATTGGCACCGGATTTCAACCCGGAATCCACAACAGTTTTATAAGTTTAATATAAATATTTATGTCATGAATTTACATAAAAGAAAGCAGAATAATAACTTAGATCAGAAAGTCTGGGGATCGAGCAGATACTGCAGTCTAATCTTTGGTAGAAAAGTGTAATAGTTTTATATAAAAAACAAACTGAATAATAGTCGAGATAAAAAATAAAAGAAAGATTGGTTATCGATATATTTGATCCAAAGCATAAAAATATAATGACTTTATATACAAACACGCAGGATAATAGATTTGAGGGCCGTCGATCACACAGATACTACACTCTGATCCTCGCTAGAAAAATGTAATAGTCTTACATACAAACATACAAGTCTAAATATATTCCTAGTGTTTTCACAAGATAAATGTTCTATGGGTATTTAGACACATGCAGTTTTAGTAATTGCAGTCTCCCTTTGTATGAAATTGTTAAAGAAAATGAGAATTTTAACGTATTTACATTACAAATCCTGTTCATGATACTTTAAATTACGTAAACAGGAAATTAAAGGAATGCTTTGAAAATAATCGTTAAGATAAAAATCCTAGGACAAGTGTTTCATATCACATACCGACTGTTCGTAGAATTTCAAATATAATTCTGTTCATAATTTGCTAAGTTGTTATGAAATAATTGTATTTTTATTCTTCTTGTGCCTCAATCAACATTGTCAAATATTAAAATCCCTGATTTTGTTTCTGGGACTATATTTTCTCAGTGGCTTATTGCTTTCTAAATTTTTCTCTGACGGCATTTTTATTTGCTGTGTTAACCTCGTCGAATTCTGGGTTTAAAATTGTAATTAAGAATAATTTCGGCTAATTAAGGTCCATGACTCAGAGGTGGAATTGTTTGGAAATTCTATTGTTAACTCTGCGATTCTTTCAGATTTGTTCTGTGCCCATTTTAAGGAATAATTTATCGGTTCCTCGGGATTGATTTTTATTTTTTTGATGATTGCATTACGTTCTTTTAATGTGATTGAAGGGGTCAATCAAGTACATCGCTGGCCTTTTAGGCAACAGCGTCTTATTCATGATGAACGAGGCGAGTTCTCCCCACCCTAGCTCAAAACTCAGCTCGATTTAAGCGTTTTCTCAGTGTCATTATGATCAGTTTCCGGTCGCTTAATTGGGACATATTTGTGAATGCTGATGACTGACTGAAGTTCTGTGTTTATTTAAAAGAATATTGAGATTTATTCTAAGTATATTACGGTACATAGACACAGGCGGGGGAGGGGGGAGTATGTTCAGTTCTTATGCAATATCAATCGTCCTTATAGAACAGATACTACAGTTTAATCATCACAAACCATCCAATGAAAATGGAGCTTGCTTTTGCAACCTCAAAATAATTAATTTCCATATTTATTTAGTTTCTTTTGTGGATTACGTTGAGTTGCTGTATTTTATGACATGTCAACACTTTTTTTTCATGTTGAAACCTGTTTTTATTATATATACTTCAGTGTATAGGTAAACATTCGCCAGATTTATACTTGAGGAAATAATATTGGTAAAGTTTATACTGGAGTCTATACGGAAACATTGGCCGGGTTTATACTTGGGGCTATAGATAAATATTGGTCAAGTCTATAAAAGAATCTATACAGAAACATTGATCGAGTTTATAGTTGGGGCTATAGGTAAAACAATTGGTTAGGTTTATACATAAATGCAAGCACCTACTCGGAAGGTGACTACATTTTTGGTGGATACAGAAAGACGTAGTCGGTGTATGGTAAGTCACGCCAACAGGACAGAGTTTCTTTGATATAATTATCTTCTTCATATTGCCCCTGCCTTATCAGCATTGTTAAAAGTGGATTTCACAAAAATGAAATTATGGTATGAAGCTACCATAAGCTATTTTAACTCGAAGAAGCAGAGCTTTGTTCGTAGCTGTGTTGTTATGACATAAAATTAGATTTTTACATGTCAAGTGTCGAATTAACGACGGCTCATGATTTTGTGCTATGGAAATGGAATTTTAATTAGGTGTCCATTGCATCATTTACTCTTCTAAATCTGGATATTTTGCTGTTGGACCTCCTTTTGCAGATTGTTCGTTCAATATAAACTCGGATTTTTGCTGATTGTTCGTTCAATATATACTTTGTTTTTTTGCTGATTGTTCGTTTAATATAAATTTAGTTTTTTGCAGATTGTTCGTTCAATATAAACTGGGATTTTTGCAGATTGTTCGTTCAATATAAACTTGGTTTTATGCTGATTGTTCGTTCAATATAAATATGCTGTAGTAGAAACGTATTGTTTTTGTATGAGTTTAAATTGAAACTCAGTGAAGGCTTTAGTTTCGTTTGTTTCACGGTACACGTACACTCTTATCGGTCATTTAATGTCAGTATCCGATTCACTTGCAAATACTTCATTACTGTCATAAACTATTTATGTTGACAACTACCGACGACTTCTGAACAATTTCATCTGCCGAATTTCACTCAGAAGTCTTGAGTAAGATCATGATATGGCTTTCAGTCTCTTTCCAACAGTACCGTTCGCTCAGATCCCGGGTCTGATATTATCACTCCCTTTAACAAATCGGCTATTATGAGATTTGAACCCGGCTCTAATCATTCGATCACTCATTGATGGTGGCTCAAAGAAGAAATGTGAATTTGGCAACTCGAAAAGTAACGGCTAACGAGCAAAACATTATTGATTCATTCATTTTCTACGTTTTATCAACCCATTAGAATTTATTTAAAGCCGGAAAAATTTTTTAGGTTGTGAATTTGTTTATTTAAATAATGGTTTAGTGATACAAGACTAATTAACCCATAGTTGGGGGAATAGGTGTATTCATACCTTCCCAAAGGTATTTGCGCGTAAGTGAATATAACAAACCCAACTGGAACTGGAACTGGAACTCGGTTCTCCAATAAACAATTCGGAGCCATTATCCATTACACCACCTGCACATCCAAGCTTACAGCACGTGGTATTCCCAAGCGATCACTCATCTAGATATTGATCAGGATCGACGTTGCTTAACTTCGGTGACCGTCCGGGAACCAGTGTTTCAACGGGAGAACAAAGCAATAGAAATTTCGGAAATTTCTCTTTGATGACAAGAATATAGAGCGAATGCTCCAAAGGAGATCCAGAAACATTCCGATTTGAGTGAATTGAATTCTCGTAAAGAGAAGACAACTGTAGACATTCGGGCTCTTTTAACACATCCTAGAGTTTCTTTTATCACTATGAAATAGACAAATAGATTACATATGAATTGAACAAATCCTGTTGCAAGGATAACAATGCATTTTCTTTTTTCTTTTTTTTTTACTTAAGTATGTTGTTTTAATGGATGCGCATGGAACGTAGCGTTTATTGTCGCCGAAGTGGGCTTGGCGTGTGAGTTCAAATTTCAAGCAAAGTCTTTGCATTCGCTTTCGCACAGATAGAAAAGTATAATTTACAGTATTTGCATTCTCGAACTATTGTTCTCATATTCACGACGTTTCGGCCATTGTACGCTTTGGCCTTATTCAGGTGACGAGGACAATAGTCCGAACAAAGTAGATACTCTAAATAATTACAATATCTAGTCTACGAAATTTGTTTAGAAAGAGTACAGCCATTTTGAAAATCGTAGAGCCAGTTTCGCGGCCTCGATGAAACAACAATCAAACTGAAGTGATATTACTGCACATGTGAAAATAATCCACTATAGCGATTACTCAGTCCTCAATAAGATGTCATTGGGTGAGTTTTTGTACTATGTAATCATCCCTTTTCTTATAACAAAGTGAGTATTATTTTTTTTACCAAAATACCGCATGACTCCGGGTTTCTTAACACACCAACATCCAAATTTGGCTACTTGCGATTCCGGGCTTACGCTACTGAAAGAGTGTAATATTTCGACGATGGACAAGATTAAGGAAGACACGATTTTGGATACTGTTTTGAAAGCTGAAAAAGGTTCCGCTTGAAATGTCTCAGGTGACAAAGAGAGTACTTTGAAGGAAACTAATTCGCCAGTACTCTGGACTGTTTTCTCGTTTATAATATTGTTGTATAGGGATAAAGTGTCATTGCCAACATTGGAGTTTGAACACAGATCACCAGTGAGCAAACACAGGTGATTCCATTTCTAATAAATAGACCACGTGATCGTAAAGGAAAGGTCTCTATGGGAATTAGCGTGGCGACTAAGTAATCGCGATTCTCTAATCTATCCTCTATATTATTTCTTTATACTAATTACCCTTCGGATTACTATTCGGCGGTTACTATTCGAACAAGTGTTACTTGTGCGATTATTATTCAAAGGAGTTACAACTAGTATCTGAGATTCCAAAGTCTCGACTACAACGAGAATTACGAATGTGATAACGAGGATTCGTTGACATCACAAAAGTGACAACGAATAAACGTCTGACATCACAAAATATGACTTTGGTTCATTTCGGGATAGACTTTGTATTATAGTTTGTTTGGGTTTTTTTTGTACTTTTAAAAACAGTTAATTCACTTTTATCTTTGTATTTTTTGCAATGAAAAAAAAAGGGATTATGAATTGGGGATAAATTATCTGTGTATATCAGCGATATTAATATTTTTAAAAAGATCATTATTGAATTGAGTTAGGTTACTATTATGGCACAAGATCAACTATCAGAAGGATGGGAGTAAGAAGGTTGTGTTATGCCAATCTTCAGAAAAATGCCTACATTTTAAGGAAACCAGAATGCCTAATACGCTTTCTGACACTGGTGAGATGTACCTAAATCTTTTAGCTACTCTGTACGATACAAAGACAGAGATAGGGAGATTAGGATGCGTCTTTGAGTCTGGCATGTCTGCCTAGGAAATCAACATTTGAATTTTGAGCTTATATTTGAGCTCAAAGTTGCCCGCACTAGTTAGAATAACACAACAATCTCAGTGGCAAGAGAATCCCCAAAATAGGAGGACTGTTTGGAAATAATCCCGCCGCTATTCAATCTCACTTAAATAATGGCCTGCCTAGGGTAACGGCACTTGAGATCTTACACGTGCTTACATTTTTCCGTAATTATTTTTCGGCGGTAAGTGAAAGAGATCTACAAATCCCAGTCACCTAAACCAAAAGATCACTTCACCTGTAAACCTATACACCTGTTGAACTGCCCAATATTTAATCATAGGGCAGTTTCAAGGACAAGTTTCTCTTACCTATCAAGTACAGAATCTTAACTGCCTGGGAAATTTCTTAAAAGACGACAGAAAATGTGACACAGAACTCCAAAGATGCATTGGGGTAGCGAAAGATGTCTTTCAAAAGCTATGCAAAATATTAAAAAGCAGAAAATATTCAGTAGAACCACATATCTGTTGCTTGAACTCTCTTCTTCATCTCTGAAGAGATTGTCCAGTATTCACTACCTTATATCATATACCACATTAGATATCACACGCTCTTTTTTTCAACGAAATTTTTCTATCTTTCAGTAATTTGCTTATTTTCTGGAAGGCATCTTTCGATAATCTTTGCACTATCAGATTTCTGTGCCAAATGTTCTGTCACCTCTTACTACAGCGTCTAAATAGTTGAATTTCTGTATCTGCTTGACTTTTAGACGCACCCCCAGCATGTTGGACTGTTTCTGTTACTAACAACAACGCATTAATATAGTCAGCTAACTTAATTCAATTGCACTTGGCTTTCATGCGTATCGTCGGACTGAACATAAACTACAAGACAGAATGTGTGGTCATGAGCAAAAAGATGAGCCCCAAATGCAAATTACAGGTCGGAGATACGAAAATTTAATTTATCTGGGAAGTGTTCTAATAAAGTGCGATACTGAGATCCGAAGACATATTGGGATGGCCAAAGATGCATTCCAAAAGCTAAGCAGAGTATTAAGAGACAGAAAAAATTCATTAGAAACAAAGAAAAGGGTACTTAACTGTTACGTGATATCTGTCCTCCTGTATAGCAGCAAATGCTGGACAATCCCCTCAAAGATGAGGAAGAGACTTGAAACAACAGAAGGATTGTGAGGATACCATGGACCGAACATGTGTATAATAACGAGATTTTGAAGAAAATGGAAACAAAAAAAGAAACTTATACTTAACATCAGGAAGTGGTAGTTGAAATTTCTGGAGTACGTAATGAAAAAGGAGGGCTTGGAAAATCTGATACTCACAGGACAGATTGAGGGAAAGAGGGAGAGACGAAAGCAGCGCGTGACATACTTGATGGGTATGAAGTTTGGGAGCAATAGCAAAAAGACAAAACTCATTAAGAGCTACAAGGGACAGGAAAATGAGGAGTGCCATGATCGCCTATGTCCTGAAGGGACACGGCAAATAAAAGAAGAAAGAAGTTTAAGCATATGGACGATCTCAAAACATGGTGACGATTCAAAACTGTATCACGTTTAGTCCGCTCTGTTAAAAATTCCCAAACTTTCAAGTAGCACTTCAGATATCTGATATCATATCAAGATTTGACAATATTTTTCCTGCTAATACACAAAAGTGAAGATTTACTTCGTTTCAATTACGAAAAAGATCTTTGTGAGGTGTCTAAGATAAGATTATATGATACATTTCTCATCAATATTATTAGAGACGGATTCAGCATGGAATTGTGGTTGACCTTTTTTTTTTTCTTCTGAAAATCTGCCAATAGCACGCTTTATTAATTATTGTGAAGGGGTTGCCTGTAGATCTTATAAACATGCATTCTCAAAATATGAAGTCATGTAAAAAAAAAAAATCCTCGCTGACCCAAAAGATATGATCTCCATCTAAATTCATATCTGAGTGTTTTTTTTTGTTTTTTTTTTTTTTAGTAGTAGGGAATATCTGCAACCTTTTCCCTTTTTTTTTTTTGCGTTCCTTGTCTCTGGGGGACGACGAAAGTATGATCCCAATATTCCTCGGGCTGGTACACCGCTCCCCTAACTACACCCACAGATTTCGTTTCTTCTGTAAAAACCTCCGAGTGCAATCTTGGTTTGCATATTATCACACCAATAATCAACACCAAGAGGGGGTGAGGTGGGTGGAATGCCTTACCGTCGCCGACACATCGAACTTTTCTTTTCTTTTTTTATTTTATTTTTGTCTCTCTTCACAACATCAGCTCCCTCGCCATCCATTCAATAACCGCCGCCTTCCATTGACCCAGCCTTTTAAATTGCGACAATTTGCTAGGCAGATTTCAGAAATTGACCAATCAAGGTATCTGATAGCTATCACTTGGCGTTTAGTTCCATCTCTGGAAACGGCACGAGTTTGATTTGTTGAGGGGCTTTTTGACGTAGTCTTCTGAAGATTGACACAAATTGATAACAATCTCACCAGTTAGCAGTCTGTCAATGCCCGGGATCAGCAGAAATTGTGCTGCTTCACTACATTGGACAGAATAAGCTAAAATCGAAATATGCTTTCATTATATTTATTTATTTATTTCCGGTTATTTTATTTTGGGTTTCATATTTGAAAAAACTTGATTAAAAAGAAATAAACTTTCACAAACGTTAATCAAAATCAACTATCAAATAGATACGATAGTTTTAAATAAACTCCACTTTTTTTGGAGAAATTTCCAACAAGTTTATAGAAACAAATCAAAAAATGAAATTGACGGGTAGTGTCTGATATAGGACTTCATTTTTTCAGGGCTGCATTTACGAAAATATTGTTAACTTTGTGAACAACCATTTTCTCTTTATTTCGAAAACACTTAAAAACTCTCTTTTTTTTTTTTTTTTTTTTAGTAGTAGTAAATCTTTTTCCCCCAAGTTATTGAAAGGGCTCGATAAACGTCCCTTGCGTGTATTTAAGCAAGAAAATTACTACGTTGATCGTCTTTAGTTATATGAATTACATATTGATCTCCGAAACAAATTATACCGCAAATTTAATTTCCTTTTTCTCAAGATTATAGTTTTCTTTTATGGTCCTTTGTCAAAACCAGGTACCAAACAAAAAAAAAAACAAAAAAAAAAATTGAAGCTATGCTTAAGGTTTAGAATGCATTTTAAAAGTGAAAAACTCTTTCTTGAAGCATTTGATTTAGTT